AGGCCCTGCAGACCCACAGGACTCCATCCACATGGGACAGTCTGAGGGCTCCAGCTTCGAACCTCCCCCAGCCCCACCCCTCCACCTTCCTAGGGCATTACCCCCACCCTCTCCCAGCTCCCCCTCCATGGCTCCATCTGCGGCCACACCAACCTTCAAAGACTTGGGGGCACATGCTCCCCACCACTTTGTCAGCCCACTCTTCAGGGCTCTTCCTCAGCTGCAGACCTTCGGACTGGTAATAATAATGATTATTTTCACAATCGTCACAGGTCCCCAGTGAGTGAGCATCTGCTGTGGAAACCTGACCCCGTCTAGTCTTCTAGTGACCCAGGGATTTGTCACCCTCTTTTGCTGATGAAGAAACGGAGGCTTTTAGAAAGGAGTTGGGCTAACATTTAACCCTGGGGGGGCCTGACTACAAAAGCAGGGTCTTCCAAGTTGAGCGATTCGCTTACCCCCAGCCAGCTGCTCCAGGGCTCCCCTCCGTTTGCTCCCACAGGCTGCAGCTAGTGGATGCTGGTGAGGGGAAGGGAGCTCTGGGCAGGAGCTTCAGGCAGGGAAGGGAGGTTCTGAGGCAGTGAGTCCAGGCCAAGGCACAGTGTCACTCTTTCATGGCCACATAGGGGTGAGCCCCCAATGTCCTTCTGTCACAGCGACATCCCCCCTCCTCACTGCACTCACAGCCCTGGGGAAGGGTGGCCCTAAGGAAAGTCACCCACAGCCACACAGACCAACCAGACCTCTTAACCACACCTGGGTACACACAGGTCCCCACAAAGCTGCAGGTGCACAGAAATACCTAGACCCAGGAGCACACAGCAGCATGGTGCATACACGCGCCCCCAGACCATGCTGGCTCCAAACTCACAGGCCTGCCACATGGGCACGTGCTCACACCCCAGCACACGAAGACCAGTCACATGCATGGTGACTCACAGGTGCGGGCATGTGGGCCATACAGAGACCTCCCGGAGGGAAGCCCCCTGGGGCTCCTGGGAACTCTCTGCTCAGGCCCTTCCTCAGGGGTAGGCTAGGCTGTGCAGGTACTGTGCGCTGGCCCCCCCAGCCAGGACACCCCTAGCCCCATCTGGAGTGGCACAGGTCTAGAGGTCCCTGGCAAGTTACAGTGAAGGCCATCAGGATGAAGCCACAATGCTGATGGGGTCCTAAGGGTCCCAGGAAAGGAAGAGTTTTTCTCTGATTCCTTGTGGAAGGAGCTGGCCAGGCAGAGCCAGGGGACTGGGAGGCCCTGTGCGGGAAGGGACAGAGTGTGACGGTGAGGAGTGGCCTAAAGCGGAGTTAGGGCGCCAGACCGAATAGACCGTGCCTTCCCCTGGGGGCGTGGGGAAGCCCCGGCAGGGGGACCTGAGTGTGCGGTGCATGCTCCGGCCCTCGGTGCAGTCCTGGGAGTGATAAGCAGGCGGAGGACCAGCTGTCCTTCCTCAGGGATGGGCAGAGGCAGGGATCTCCTCAGGGAGGACCAGGATGGCATCGCACACATCCTGACCACTGGAGGGTCGTTCGGCTGCCCTTCCTGGCTCAGGGCTGCATCTGAGAGAGGAAAGGGCATCAAGTCACAGGGTCTGAATAGGTGGGGGTGCCTGGGGCACATCTCTTTCCCCATTCATCAGCTTCATGGCCTTGGGCGGGTTGCTTAACCTCCCCAAGCCCCCATGTCTTCATCTGTAGGATGCAGACAGGAATAGAAGCCTCCTTAAAGGGCTGCTGTTCTATGTGTCAGGCACGGCGGTGTCGGCCACCGTCCACTCAGCTGGCCGGCCATCAGGCAATGAGTGCCACCGGCACACCAGCCTCTCCAGGCCTGTGAGGGGCCCGGAGGTCAATCTGATTTGCTGTTTTCAGGGAGCTCCTGGTCAAGTCAGATGGCATAGGAAGTAGGGCCACGAGGAAGCAGGTGGTTATGGGATGCAGAGACGGAATGCAGTCCCTCAGAGCCTCTCACCACCTGTGCTGAGGCTTCCAGGCTCATCACCCAGATTTGGATGGAGCAGGGGCTGTTTGTATTTCCCTGAGGGGTTGGGGCTCGGGGGTGGAAGGGGAAGGCCCAGGAGAGCCAGGGAGCAGAACTTTCTAAGGCAGGGAGGGGTTGTCAGAGGGACCAAGGACTGGGGCCCTGAGGATCTGGATGCAAGTGGGCCAGGCATGGAGTGGGTCAACCTGGTCTGTCCAGCTTAGTGCCCATGGTCCCTCCCAAGCTACACCACCTGTCCCTGGGACCCTTCCCTCAGGTGGCTGGGCAGTGGGTGACAGCAGTTGGGCTGGACTTGCCTTTCACAGATGAGACCACTGAGGTCTGTGCTCAGAGCCAAAGGTCGGGGCAGGAGGAGGAGGAGAGGTGCTTGGAGAGCCGAGAGGCAAGGACAAGTAAAAGGGCTGGGCTGGGGAGAAGCCTCACGTGAGAACTCTTCCTGGCTGCACCTCAGGCAGGTGCGGGAGGCCTGGGTGCTCAGGTTCCTGCACTGACAGGTGAGACCTGGTGGAGCTGTGGGTATGGCTTGGCCACCATCCCCACGAAGGCCTCTGGGCACCACAATGGAGCTGGACAAGGTCACAGCCTGGCTTAGGCTGATTCAAGCTCCAAATACATTCCATTGTCATGGGACTCCTCCCTGCTTTCAGGAGCTCAAGGCAGGATGGCCTACAGTGGGGGTCCTCTTCTGAGCCTGCATATGCAGTGGCAGGAACCAGCCTCGCCTCTCCCTCTGCACCACCAGCGCCAGCAAGCCCACAGTCACCCCACCCATTCTCCACAGGCACTGCCTGCAGTCCCCAAGCCTTGCATATACCCACTACTCTCCATGCATTTTTACTTCGAGCAACAACACACCGAGAAATGAAAAGAGACGCTGAGACCTGAGAGAATTGCCCCACCCCTGCCCATTACATCTCTCCCAGGGGCCCTGGCAGCCTTTGAGAAGCTGACCCAGGCCCTTGTGCTGGTCTAAGCCCAGTCTGCTTCCTCCCCTTGTTCTGTGGGCTGATCACGCCAGGCACCCTTCCTTGCCACTACCCTCATACAGGATGGAGCTGGCCTTGGACTGTCCAGCACCAGGTCTAAGAGGCCTCCCGAGCCCTCTATCCAGCCTGCCATCCCCAAATGCCAGGCTCCGTGCAGACACCACTGTGCACAGCTCCTGCTATGTGAGCCCCGCTTCTCTGGGCTTCTGGGGTGAGACCTCTGTGGCTTTCTTTATGAGCAATTCAGCGAGCCATGCCCTTCATGGAGTGAGTCATGGAATCCCCCCAAAAGCCCAATAAGGTCAGAGCAGGCCCATTTACAAATGAAGATCTGAGGCTCTGAGAAGCAGATCCCACCAGCGAGGCAGATGTGGGACTCAGCTGGCTGAACCTGGCTCTCGAATGCAGAGCCAAACCCCCCATCTGCTTCTCTGAGCCATTCTCTTTGAGTCTCATGGGGGTACCAACTAGACGGCTGGCCCAAGCTGGTCACAACCTGCACTCAGGGTGGATGAGCGGGGTTCTTTCCCCTGCAGGGTTATCAGCCCCAGAAGCTTACGGGGCTGGACTCCTTGTACATCAGTATCCTTTTCTATCAAATCGGGGAAATGGAAACACCTTCCCTAGGGGTTGTGGTGATATTAAAAAGAGTAAGTCCATGTAAAGCCTTAGAACCATGTCCAGCTACTGGGATTAACTTCCTGCCCTTCTAACCACCATGGACTCTACCTCAGGACTCTGCTCAGCTTCACCCCCACGCCCACCCCTGTCCAGAAAGCCCTCCCTAACCCCTGCGTTCTGGCTGAGGCATCCATCCCTGATGCTGGCCAGCTCGAGTGCCCGTGATCCCCACTGCCTCACTCACCCAGCCCCTATGCTGTGCGGTAATCTTGGTGTACGCTTCTTGGGGGTGGGCACCAGTGATGAAGGCCTCCGTGTCGTTCTTTTGTGTCATTCTGATGCTGAGGCCTCCTTGCTTCTTCCTCTGGGCCAATGTGTCTGCTTGGGAGGAAGCTCATTGCCTAAGGGCATTGTGGGAGGGTAGGGGACTCTCCCCTTCTCAGACCTTGGTCAGGCTCTGGAAGTTCCCCTATTAGGGGGTGGAGGAGGGCCGCAGGGCACAGCACCTTCTTTCCCCATCCTCTGCTGAGCCCATGGCTGGAGTCCAGGGATCAGCAGGAGTTCCAGGACCTGTCCCGTGACTTGTTACAGTCACACAGCTCCTTCAAACCCCCAGATCCTAGGTCCCGCTCACCGCACATGCCTGAATTGGCCCCCACAGAGAAGGCACAAGTACACCCAGCTCCCCTAGACTCTGGGGTCCTCTTCCTAAAGGGAGAGTGTCAGGTGTTCCTGTCCTTTTGGCAGTTTCTTTAGGATACTCTTACCCATTGGGAAGGAGGGGCTGAGGCCGTGGGTGCCCCTTCCATGAATGAGGGCCATGTCCTACTGCCCCCAGAGGGCTTCTGGTTGGTTAGGGACATTCGAGAGATGCCAGTCACTCCAAGAACCTATTTAAGCCTTGCCAGGTGACCCTGCTAGCACCTCGCCACCTGGACAACTGCCTGTGGGACAGGGCTGGGGTATGGGACCCCTCCACCACGTTTCTCATGCCAGTTCTAATCCTACAGTCAAGCCAGTCCTCAACCAGGCACTAACACCTGGGCAGCAAGGATTCTTGATATAGTGAAATGAACCAGGACAGGGGACTAGATGGATCTGCCCTGGGACAGCCCTTGGGAGTTCCCATGTAAAGATTTGGGCTAGAGTATGGAGCTGAGCATGCAGTGTGCATGTGTGCGCATGCAATGGGGCAGGGCTCACAAGAGGCCAGTGGGGGTTTCCCAGAAGACTTCCCGGAAGAGGGGAGTTCTGGTCAGCAGGGAGAGGGAGGCATAGGCTCTACAGACCGAGAGAGGCAGGCTGAAGTGAGGCCCAGGTGTCCCTGTTAGAGCCTATGCCACTGGCCACCCCTTCCCCCACCCTTGCCCCCCCCCCAACGATCCTCCCTGCGGCTCCCTGTGGCCAGCAGCTCTGCAGCGCTCGGCTCTGCTCCACTCTGCTTAGCTCCGCTCCACTCCAGGAAGGCCACCTCCTCCCTGCCCTCCTCCACCCTCCTCCTGCTGTCACCACTCACCGCTCATAGCCTTGAAGGGGTGGGGACCCCAGGCCTGGACACACCCCACTGTGGCCCCAGAGCCTAGCTGGTCGGACGGACGCACGGTTGGACGCAGGACCCCGGAGCCCCGAGGTGGGCAGTGTGCCAGGGTCCCTCACAGCCTCCTCAAGGTCAGTGCCAGCCAGGAATTCAGCTACTCTGGGGTCCTTGAAACCCGTGGAGCCCACCTTAAGCCCCTCATCCCAGAATTCAGGTCCCAAAGCAGTCTTTACCTCAGGTGTGCCTGAGGCAGGCAGGATCAGGGGGCAGGGGGCAGGACTGTATCCAACAGGCCCAGGTCCGGGGGTCTATTGGAAGAGGTCGCAGGCCAGGGGCCAGCCTTGGTCCTGCTCATGGAGGCCTCACTGGGGACACCCTGCACCGGCCATGGGGAGCTAAAATTGGAAAGTAGCAAGTGGGAGGCAGCTGACAAAGCTATTTCTTGGGCTCTTCACCGTGCTCTGGTTTCAAGCTCCTGCTCCATTAACCCGATCCTCCAGGCCTCCCTCCCCCCACCTGGCTGATGAGGAGACGCCTCAGCCCTCAGGCCAGCACTGCAGAAGTCAGTCTGGAGAGCCCCCTGGTATGGGCAGGGGCGGAAATGCTCTTCTCTTATCTGAGATTCCAAAGGGCTCACTGGGAACACACAATCCCGTCCCAGGCTCGTTGTGTGACCTTGACAGGTCCCCGCCCCTCTCTGGTCCATGACCCCTCTGTATATGAAGTGGGGAGAATGCTGACTCTGGGGGGCTGGGAGAGCTGGTTCCAATGCTGGGAAGGGGAATTTGGGGGAGGAGGATCAGGTGTGGGAGACAGGGCCATGCCAGCCACCTCTTGGCCCAGCCCAGCCCAGGCCAGCCCAAGAAAGTGCTCAGACACATTCCTCCCTTTAATTTGGCCCTGGGTCTGTTAGCCAAGGCACCCTTGGGAAAGCCCAAGTCCAGACTGGAGCATAGGAGGGGCATACGAGGGGGTGGCCCATCCTGGAGAAGAACTAGGCCCTGAAAGAAGGGTGTGGCTAGGCTCACCGTGAGCCTGATACTGGTCAGCACCTTGGACAGAGGCCAATGCCATCCCTGGGGCCCTGTCTGGCCCTGCCTGGCCCCACACCCACTACCCCAGGGCACCTCTTCAAATAGCACCACCTCTAGCCAGCATCCAGGGCCTGAAGACACAAGCACAGAGAATGGGCTGGTATAACCAAGGACACAGGGCAGGGAACAGGGAAGTGGAGGGCTGGGGCTCAGGGGCTGGTTGGGGCAATGGGAATCAGTGAGAGGCTGGAGGCTGAATGAGAGGTAAGAAAGCTCAATACTGGGGACAGGACCTGGGAGGCCAGGAGATCTCAGGGAAGTGAAGGCAGCTCTGGAGGGGTATGGGAATCCGAGAAGAGGGCATGGGCGGTGGGGGGCGGGGGGCATTGTCAGGAACTGAAGGAGGTTTACTGAGGGGGTTGGGGGTCCTGGGGGCCAGAAACATGATTGAGGTGACATAGATGGAGTCCCCCCACGTGAAGGTCACCTGAGGCCTTGGCAGGAGCCGTTCGAGCAAAGGGTGGGGACCAGTCCACCTGAAAGGTATGAAAGGGTCAATGAAGGTAGGCGGGCAGGCTGAGAGTGAAGATTACGCTTTCAAAAGCCTTCAAATGGGTGGGCAGGAGCTAGAGCAGCAGCTAGGAACAGGTGCTAGATGTTATGGTGTCTGGGACGAGTGGGGGACCGGAGAAGTAGGATAATAGCTTGAGATCCCATATGGGATCCCCACCATCTCCACGGGGTCCATCAGGTAGGGTGAGGTAGGGCTAGGGGCAGCAGTACCCTCACCCAATCTGTCTCCCCCAGCGCCACCCAGGCTATGGGCATCAAGACAGCGTTGCCTGCGGCGGAGCTGGGCTTATACTCCCTGGTGCTGAGTGGGGCTCTGGCCTATGCTGGTCGGGGCCTCCTTGAAGCTTCACAAGGTAACAGCTGGGCTCTGGAGCAGGGAGTGGGATGCTTCTTCCCCTGCGGGCTTCAGGGTTCCACCCAGCAAGGCTATAAACTTCAAGGCTCCAGACCCAGGATATTCCCTAAGCCCAGGGGTTTGGGCTGAGTTAGGTGAAGTCACAGGGAGAGACAGATGCAGAGGTCCTGACAGATCTGCACACAGAGCCACAGAGAGAGAAAGAGAAACTCCGACCCTCGGGGGTATAGTCAGAGACCTGGCCCGAGACACACAATGAGACCCAGAGAGAAGTAGAAGCAGAGAGAGAGAGAGACTTAGACCCATTCCCATTTCTCCAGGGTCATGGTCAGCCCAGCTGTAGGGGCATGGGTGGGTGTGGGCGTGAAGTCCCCCCAGTCCCCACTGAGGCCACACTCTGTTTTCAGATGGGGCCCACCGGAAGGCCTTCCGGGAGTCTGTGCGACCTGGCTGGGAGTACATTGGCCGGAAGATGGTAGGTCCCCCACATCCCTGGGTCCCTGACAGAGGTCCCTGATCCCGGCATGTCTCTCACATCCCAGACCCTTTCCAACTCTCCCCCACTCCAGATGTTCCCATGTAACAGAGGGATCACGGTGAGGAGGGTCTCTGGCTTGAGCCTCAGAGTCTTCTGTTTCTCCACCGGTCCACCCTGTGTCCTCCTGGGGCCACGTCAAGCCTGCCCCCAGGCACTGCTCATTTAGGAAATAAATTGAGACATGCTTCAGCAGGGGCCCCCAGCACTGTCTTTCCCAGGAACAGTGCCATGAATGGTGGAATGTCAGGCAATATGCCGAACAGAGGGGCAGGGCAGCTCACACACCCCACCCTTCATTTCTCTCTACCTACCTGGCTGGTACTTCCCCCAGAGGAGAAGGCGAGGGCCTCCAGCCATGGCTGTCCTCTAATGCATAAGAATATGGGGGTTGGGGAGGTGCTGGGGCTCTGCTCAGCCAAAGTACCAGCCCATCCTGCCCCCCTACACCTCCTTAACTGCCCGGGCCTGCCCCAGGACGTGGCTGACTTCGAGTGGGTGATGTGGTTCACCTCCTTCCGCAACGTCATCGTCTTCGCCCTTTCTGGACACGTGCTATTTGCTAAACTCTGCACAATGGTTGCCCCCCAGGTGAGTTGAACCTGAGCCACCCCAGCCTCCCCTGCCAGCTCCCCCTGAGCTACAAGTGTTGGGGGTCCCACCTCCATTTGTATGGATAGATAAACCATCCCTTCTCCCTGTCCACAGCTCCGTTCCTGGATGTATGCCGTGTATGGGGCCCTGGCTGTGCTGGGCACAATGGGCCCTTGGTACCTGCTGCTACTGCTTGGCCACTGTGTCAGCCTCTACTTGGCCTCACTCTTGGGCCAACCCTGGCTCTGTCTTGGCCTCAGCCTGGCCAGCCTTGCCTCCTTCAAGCTGGATCCCCTAATCTCCTGGCAGGTGTGCAGTGGGGAGGGGGAAGGGTGGAGGGTGCAGGACTAGGACCCCAAAGTTCTCACCCCATCCAAAGCCCTCATTTCCCGAGACTCCCCAAGCATTTCCTTCACTTCCCACCTGTCTCCAAGTCTCTGACTGGGGCACATGCCTGCCCACAGAGTGGTCTCCTTCACCACAGGGGGGACATGTCCTGCTTGTTCCCTGTGCTATCCAAACACTTAACATGAATGAGCCCTCGGTGGCTAGTGTTGTTGATTGACTCTGCAAGAAAGGAGGGGGAAGGATGAGGCTGGGCCCCTGTGGGAAGCTGGGTGGGCTTCCCAGAGACAGGGGCAACTGGTGAGCTGGCGGCCTGTTCTCTCCCATCCAGAGCGGGTTGGTAACAGGCACTTTTGATCTTCAAGAGGTGCTGTTTCACGGGGGCAGTGGTTTCACAGTACTGCGTTGTGCCAGCTTCGCGCTGGAGAGCTGTGCCCACCCTGACCGCCGCTACTCCCTAGCTGACCTGCTCAAGTACAACTTCTACCTGCCTTTCTTCTTCTTTGGGCCCATCATGACCTTTGATCGCTTCCACACCCAGGTGAGTGGAAACCCTGTGGGCTTCCAGAGCAGGGCTGGGTCTCCCTCTCCAGTCAGGGGCTCCCATGTCAGCTAGGGCTCCCAAGACAGGTTGCGACCTCACCTTCAGTCATGACTCCAGGATGAAGCTGTAATACCCAGCCTCCTCAGACCCCAGCTTGGGGCCGCATTCCCTTCAGACAGAGGTCACAGGCCGGAGAAGTGACTCCAGGCTCAGGGAGGGCCACCAGGATGAAGCCACCTCTCCCCTCACCCACGGATCCCCAGTTGGTGACCCCCCCATTCAGACCCTCCTCCGGCAGGCCTTGCCTCCCCACTCAGACACTTCGCATCTCCCAGATGAGCCAGGTGGAGCCGGTGAGGCGCGAGGGTGAGCTGTGGTGCATCCGGGCCCAGGCCGGCCTCAGCGTCGTGGCCATCATGGCCGTGGACATCTTCTTCCACTTCTTCTACATCCTCACCATCCCCAGTGACCTCAAGTTTGCCAACCGCCTCCCGGACAGCGCCCTCGGTGGGTGCTCGTCTGGGCCAGAACACGGGGCTGGGAAAGACAGAAAGACAGACCCTCTGTGCCCCAGGGCGTCACTGCTGGGGGAGCTGACACCTGAAAAGGCACAGCACCGATCCAAGGGTTGGGGGGCCGGGATTTACTCTCTGAAATGCTTGGGACTTGGAGTTAGCTCTTCTCTGTGAGGCCAGAGCAATAGCTGCAGAGCCCGCCTCCCAAGGGCCTCAGATTGATTTCCACTGCCCCAATGGGGTCTCCCTGGGGCGGGCCGGACCAGCTCCTTCCCCAGGAAATGGTGGTGTGGCCTCTGTGGGGGCGGGTCGGCTACCAGGGCCTCCTCTATGACCGGACCTGCGGAGAGAGGCTGTAGGGTAGGGCCCGGTTTCCTGCCTTCCCACCACAATTTGGGGGATCCTGGGAGCGGAGACCCACATGACTCCCCCCAGGCAGTGACCACACCCTGTCCCCAGCTGGCTTGGCCTACTCAAACCTGGTGTACGACTGGGTGAAGGCTGCCGTCCTCTTCGGCGTGGTCAACACCGTGGCGCGCCTTGACCACTTGGACCCACCTCAGGCTCCCAAGTGCATCACAGCGCTCTATGTCTTCGCTGAAACGTGAGTGTGAGATCCGCGGGAAACACCGCAGGGATCCTCACCCCCTCGTAGCCTATTTCTCCCATTCCCCGCCCCCCCCGCCAGCTCTACTCCTGGCTGATTCACACCCATCTGCTCTCCTCCCACAGGCACTTTGACCGTGGCATCAACGACTGGCTTTGCAAGTGAGTTGGGGTTGGGGGGGAGGGTGGAGTAATGGTCACAGTCATCCCGCGAGGTGTCTGACTCTGGCAGTGCAGAGATGGGTCCACGTTTTAAAAGATGGCCCATTCCCTGAGCCAGAGGAAGCAAGGAGGGGGTTGTGGGCTAGGTGAAAGGAGTTTGGACATGAATGGAGGCGCTGGAGGTGAGAGAAATGGTTGGAGTCAAGACACACAGCAGGGACCCTGGACAGGACTTGGCCATGGATTGCGGGGATCAAGAAGGAGAAGGAAATGACCCCTAGATTCTTTCTGCCTGGGAAGATGGAGGGGCGGCATCAGAAAGGGGTTTTGTGTGAGAAATAGTTGGAATCTGGACATATGCTTGTGGAGGTTCAGGGAGGTGGCTGGATCTGAGGGTCTGGGGTTCAGAGAAGTCTGGAGGACCGATGTAGCTCTGAGCTTTATGAGTATGGGACAGTGGTCTTTAGTCCTTGGGAGTGCGTACGTTCCCAAGGAGAGAGAGTAAAGAAGAAGAAAGAAGGTGCAGCTAGGATTGGAGCTGGAAGGACTCCCACTGGGGGAGAGAGGAGAGTGGCAGAAGGACTGAAAGTTGTGGTCAGAGGAGCAGAACAGTCAGGACCACATGACAGTCTGGAAACCAGGAAGACCATCCAGGCACGGTGGGGGCAGCTGGGTCAGATGCTGCTGGGGAAGCTAGCTAGTGAGGGGGAGACAGAGGAGTTGCTGAAGGGAGACGTGAGGTGTCTTAAGACAGCAAATAGTGTAACATGCCTGGTTGCTAAGAGTAAGTCTACGTTTGGGAGGCAGGATAGAGAGGTGATTGACAGAGTGAGGTCTCCAAGGAGGGAGGAGGTGATGGAAACAGTGCTAGGCACAGGCGTGGCTTCAGGACAGGGAGGAAGAAGAGAAGCCAGCATGGGTGCAGGGTGGTGGGTTAGTGTCAAGAAGTAAGGGTCCACCTGAAGCCTTCAGTTTTCTTCATGAAATAGGAGGCAAGGTCAGCTGCTGAGAGATGCAGAGTTGGGCATGGAGGGAGGCAGCATCTTCGTGGCCCCTTTCTTCTTGCCTAGATCCCCCCCACGACACCTACTTATCATTGGGGGAGAGATAAGGGTGGATTAGCCACTGCAGAGCATGGCACAAGAAGCTGACTAGAGAAGCCTTAGCACTGAAATCCCGGGTGAGGTTGGAGGTGGTGGATTTATGGACTCTAGCACGTGAAGGTATGAGATATTCCTCAACAGGGCTTAGCTTCTTGGGTGCAAGTGAGGAGAATGTGGGTGATTGGGCTCTCCCAGTTGGGTGGGAAGAAGTGAAGGATAAGGGGTTTTAGGTTATTTATAAAGATGACTCATTGGATTTAAGCCAGTTAAAGAGGGTGGTAAAGATAGGATCTCAAGGTGAGGAAGAGAGGGAGGAGTCAATGAGATCCCAGTTCTCCAGAAGAACTGGAGCTGGGGGCCACATCAGGAGGGGGTGGGTGGTGAATGGTAACTAGGACAGAATGAAATTTCAAGTGGTGACGAAGTTGGAATATGGTGTAGAGAAGAAACCATTGGAAATGAACAGGTCAAGGCATGGAGAAGTGTTACTCAAGGGGTCTTCTACTGAATTTATTTAACAAATATTTATTGAGTATCTACTATGTGCCAGGCACTGTTCTAGGCACTGGGGATACAGCAGTGAACATAGCAAAGACTGTGAACACATGGATCTTATACTCTAGTGGGGAGAAACAGCCCATAAACAGGTAAACAAAATATAAATAAGATAATTTTAGAGAGTGGTAAGCATTATGAAAAAAAATAAAATAAGTGTGATGGGATAGAAGCTGGCCACAGGATAGAAGCTTCTATAGTTGTGGTCTGGGGAAGCCTCTGTGGGATGATATTTGAATTGAGACTTGAGTGATAAGGAAATCTAGGGAAGAGAATTTCAGGGAGAAGGAGCAAGTGCATAGGCTTGAGGCCGGAACATGCTCTGTGTATCTGAGAGAAAGGAAGGCAAGAATGAGGGCTAACTGGTGGGTGTGAGGTCAGGGAAGGAGGCAGAAACCAGACATCGTGGGATCTTCTAGCCTTAGTAAGGAGGTGGTCTATTCTAATCGTAATGGGGAGCCTTGGGGGCACATTTGATTGTGGAAGTTCTATGATCTGACTCTGGCTGCCATGTGGAGAGCAGATGGTAGGGGGCCAAAGGCAGAGGCAGGGAAATGACTTAAGAGACTCTTGCAATAATCTATGATAGGAGATGACCTGCTGGACAAGTAGCGGTAGTGGGGGTGGCAAGCAGCAGTCAGGACTGCATAGAGCCCACAGAACTTGCTGGCTTGGATGTGGGGAGAGGAACTGACAGTCCAAGATGGTACCAAGGCTTGAGTAGAGGGAAGTGTCATTATCTGAGATGAGGATGCAGCAGGTTTCAACAGGGATGGGGGACTCAGTCATTCAAATGAGATGTCTAGTGACAGTTGGATGTGTGAGTCAAGAAAGTGGGCTAAAGACATAGATTTGGAGATCATCAGCCTAGAGACAGTGTTCAAAGTCTTGGGTCAGATGAGATTGCTTGGGGAATGGATGAGAAGGCATCAAAGTTCAAAGCTGAGCCTTCCACATTCTGAACTTGGGTAGAGGAGGACCAGGCATCTGAGATCAGGAACATGGGACATTCCCCAGGATGACAGTGTTGAGGAGGGCTGCCCTGTGGTATATTCTTTGCCTTTCTCCTACCTGCCCTCTCCCACACCCCCCGCTGGTCCTTTCTCCTGCCTTTCTTGCAGGTACGTGTATGACCACATTGGTGGGGAGCACTCCGAGGTGATCCCAGAGCTGGGGGCCACTGTGGCCACATTTGCCATCACTACTCTGTGGCTTGGACCTTGTGATATCGTTTACCTATGGTCATTCCTGAACTGCTTTGGCCTCAACTTTGAGCTCTGGGCGCAGAAGCTGGCAGAGTGGGGGCCTCTAGCACAAATTGAGGTGAGTGGGAAATGTTGGGGGCAGGGTTTGGCTGAGTCACTGGAGGGGGTGGCATTGCTGCTCTCTGGGATCTTCCAGCCACATGTGGAGTTTCTGAAGAGTTCTCAGTCCAGAACTTTCTCACCACGACTTCCTGGCTATCAGGGCAATGGCTCCCCCTGTGGGTATCTAGCACCCCTTTCTGTGGAGTGTGGACACCTGGGCCAGGCTGGGTGGTCAGTATTCCCATCTTTAACAATGAGGGAGGGCTGCCCTGGGGACTCTCAGGGACCCAAGCTCAACCCCAGGACCTGGGGTAGCCATGAGGGCAGGGTCTCTGACCCACCGTGTCCTCTTTCCCCTGGCCCTCTTGCCGATGCCTTCCTGAACTGGGCAGGCTTCTCTGTCGGAGCAGATGTCTCGCAGGGTCCGAGCTCTCTTTGGGGCCGTGAACTTCTGGGCCATCATCATGTACAACCTTGTAAGCCTGAACAGCCTTGAGTTCACAGAGCTGGTCGCCAGGCGCCTGCTACTCACAGGTGAGGGATGGGGGTGTGGACACAGAAAGTGCCAGGCATTCACCTTGAGGACTGTGACCTCCTGAAATGCCGCCATTGCAGCCCAACACCCCGGGGAATCAGCAGGGAGGGCCAATCAAGTGGGGAGAGGCATGAGAAGGAAAGCGTCACTGAGGCTGGGGTCCTGCTCCCAGGCGTCGATCACCTCTTCCCCACACAGGCTTCCCCCAGACTACTCTGGCTGTCCTGTTCGTCACCTACTGTGGTGTCCAGCTAGTGAAGGAACGAGAGCGAACCCTGGCGCTAGAAGAGGAGCAGACGCAGGACAAAGAGAAGCCGGAGTAGCTGGGAGGAGTAAGAGGGGAGAGGAATGGGCACTGCTCAGCTACTCCCGGGTCCGGCCCAGGCCAGGCTGGAGGGGGCCTGACCACTAGAATAAAAGACTTTTCTACCACAGTTCGGCTATTCCCTGTCCCTTCCACCAGTAATCTCCTGGCTTCTTGTCCATGCTGTATGAGGAGGTGGGGTCTCTGAGCCCCAGGGAGGGGAGGTCAGGCTCTAGGGGCACCAGAATGTGGAGGCGATACACCCATGTAGTGCGGAGGCCACTGCCCTGGGCAACCCAGGCGCTCAACCTGGCATCTTCAACCACCTGGTCACGGACTCCTGGAGGACCTGATTCTAGACCCTGAGCTACTTGCTCAGAAGGCACTTTATTCCTCTCCGGGCTGCCGAGTGTGCTGGAGACGGATGCTTCCCAGCTGACAGGCAAGGAGATGGGGTCCTGTGGGTACTTCCTTCTTGGCACACAGGTGGCCTGGGACGGGCCCAGAATGCAGCTTGGGACACCCCCCTGTGGCTCTGGTTCATGGAACAATAAGACTGGGGAAACGGGGACCAGAGAGCCCTAAAGTTCCTGGGCCCTGCCGGCAAGGCTAGGACTGGGCAGCGAGTTCTCCCCTGCTGAAGAGCACCCCGGGTGGGAGGACGGGATCCAGGTGGACTCTGGCCCCTCCCCACCTCCTCTTGGGAGCCCCCAAATCCAGGCCCGTGTGGCCGCAGAGTGGGAGGGGTGCTCAGCTCAGGCCTCGGGGCTGGTCACATCTTGGTCAGGCGCAGCACGTTGAGCCTCACAGGAAGGAAGGTGGCGCCGGCTGCATAGGCTATCTCCCGCAGGACACCCTCCCACTTCTTCTCATCCTCATTATATCTGCGGGTGAGAGGGAGGAGTGGGGACAGGGACACAGAGCTGGGTCAGCTGAGTGCAGAGTGGGCCCCAGCAGGGAGGGGTGGCTAAGGATGTCCCTGAAGCCCCAGGCCCATCTCCAGAAAGGTCTGGTTCTGGAGAATTCTCATGCCCTAGGAAAGGGCCCCCCACCATAAGGCCCATCCCCCAAAGAACAGCCACCCCACGTTCCAAGAAGGGTCACCTCTCAAGGAATGTCACACTCCTCCAGGAAGGCCTGCATCTCCACAGCACCTCCTCTGGAGAATCCTGTACTCGGCACTCCACACGTCCCCCCAAGACCCCCTGTCCCCACATAGCAGTGGGAATAAGGGAAGTTTCAGCAGGTGCCCCAGGCCCCGAAACCTCTTCCCTCCACCCCCAGAAAGGACCAGCTTGGAAAGTGATGGTTCTGGGCAGTTGGGGTCCAGCTTCTTCTCAGTCCTGGCCCCAGCTTTCCCCTCCAGCAGGAGTACTCAGGACAGAGTGGGGAGGAAAAGCCTGGCTGCCTCTTCAGGGCCCCCTCTACTCCCAGGGGCCTGTTTCCATGGGTCTGGGCCCTAAGCCTGGGCCAGCTCCTGGCTGCGGCATGCTTGAGGCTTCACAGTCAGGCGTGGTCCCCTGTGAGCCCACAGGGACCTTGCCAGTCAAACGGGAAAGAACCGGGCGGAGCCGGGCATGTCTGCTATCCCTTCCCCAGGGGACTCCCTGGAAGAGGATCACCCTATCCCCAGATGAGCTTGCCAGGTACCACTGGGGGCCATCAGCCTTGCTCAGGGACTTCCCTGGGCCCAGGCTCACCTCCAGATGTCATTGAGCTCTGTGGGGACCAACTCTCCAGACTCAGTCTCCAGCGTGGCAAAGCCACCGATGGCATACAGGGTGCCAGCCAGGCTGACCAGGCTGAGCGAGCTGCGTTCCTGTGGGAAGGCCTCGAAGGATGCCCACCTGGTGGGGAGGAGGGGGCGTGAAGGGGTGTGTCACCCAGGGGCCTCGGCAGCCCCAGCACCCACATCTCTAGCTACAAACCCCTTGGAAACCCGAATCCCAAGCACCCATGTTCCCAGCACAGCCTCTTGTGTCCTGACCTGCCCTCTGGTCTTCCCCATTCTCCTGCCCCTCCCATTTCCCTTTATGGTTCCCTGGTCATAGCATCCAGTCTACGCCATGCCATCCACCATGGATCCCCCCAGTGGCCTTCCTTTGCTCCTGAACTAATTCTTCCAGGGGAGCTGCCCTCCCCTGATGCCCGTGCCCCACCCTTCTTCCCCTCTTCACTGCCCAATTACTCTCAGGGTCTCTTCACTGACCCTGAAATTGGGCCTTCATCCCTACGCTCCAAAACAGCTCTCCCGTCCCCAGCCACCACAGAACATAGAATCCAGGCACAACACACGTCTCTGTTGATGTGACGTTCTCACCTCCCACCTGCCCACCTCCCACCTGCTCTCATGTCCTTAGATTCCTTCCTGGATAATGCATCCGCCCCCACAATCCCTGGGGCTTGGGCCTCAGCTTCTCCCTCTTATACTCTCTCTCCTGAGGGAGTTCATCCCCTCCGTTTGCTGTTGTACCCAGATCTCCAGCTCAGCATTCTCTCCGCCCTGATGGGCTCCTCCTGGACACTCCCAGGCCCCTCAAATCCACATGTCCTAACTGGACCCTCACATTTCTGATCTAACCCCAGTGGTTCTCCATTAAATGATCTCACACCCTCTCTCAAAAGTATCCACATCTCTTTTCCCCAACATCCAATCAGTCTCTAAATCATATTTTTTCTATCTCCTAAACTCTTGCTACTCTAAGTGTGACCCATGGACAAGCAGCATCAGCAGCACCTGAGCTGGGTTGCAGGGGGTGGGGGAGAAGGGGGCAGGGGTTGTTAGAAATATACACCCAGGCCCTTCCCCAGGCCCGAGAATAAGAATCTGCATTTTAACATGACCCATAGGAGATTCATGTGCACAGCACAGTGGGAGAAGCGCTGGCCTACGTCTTTCTCCTGTGCCCCATCTGCAGGCTACCACCCCCTCCCACTCTATGGCTGTACCCCTGCCTCCTGGGAAATCTCTAATCTGTTCTCTACATCAGCTGTCACCTAAGAAACACAGATGTGAGCCTAAAACCCATCACAGGCATTTCACCACTCTCAGGATTAAGTCCCTCAGCCCTGCTTGCCCCCTCTCCAGCCCCAGTACCCCCATCCTCACTTCCCCATCCCCATCCAACCTTTCCTTCAACAGGCCTGCCTTTTTCCTCCTAACTGCCTTGGCACCAACTTTCCTTGGCCTGGGGCATCCTTCTCCCGCCATCCCTTTTGCTGGCAAAGTCCAGGTGGACTGCCGGTTCAGTTTTCCCCTGACCGCCCAGCACCAGACTCCTGCCCAGTATGACTCTCTAAACGAGGAACCAGGCCTCTCCCCCAGTACTCCTGGGAACTGTCTCCTGCAGACCAGGCTGGCCCTAACCCTGGCCCCAAATTGTGGGGGATGCCCCCCTCATGGCTGATCAGGAGAGAGAGAGGCTAGTTCTGTGCTGATGTCCAGGAGCAGCAACCATGGTTCCTGCCAGGGCCATCACAGAGCGAGCCAAGAGGTCCAAAGTCACACAGCCAGGCATTCACAGTGGGGCCCTTGGTCCCTGGCTGCCTAGGGAAAGGGGCAGGAAACAGCCATACTTGTTGTCTGTAATGCTGTACACTTCAGCTGAACTGGTCAGCCCCGTGTCTGTGACCCCAGCGGCTACAAAAATGCGGCCATCGTGGACGGTGGCCCCGAAGAGAGAGCGGGCAGTTTGCATGGGTGCCAGCTCCTTCCACTCGAACTTCTTAGGGTCGTAGACACACATCTTCTTCAGGCACTTCCTGGTGGATGGAGGACAGTAAGTGAGAGGGAGGAAGCCTGAACACAGCGCCGCTCCTCTGGTTCAGCCGCTCCGGACGCCTTGCCCAGGCAGCCCGCACAAATCCCCGACAGCCTGGGGAGACTGTGCTCCCGCTCTGACCTACAACCCTGCTCCTGCCCTCGCGCCAGTCCCGAGCCTCACCTGTCACTGCCTTTGCCGCCAATGACGTAGACCAGGTCCATATGGGAGAGCACCGCGTGGCCGTAAACGGCGTAAGGCAGCGGATCCGATTCGCCCCATTTGAACGACCTGGAGGAGACCGGAGTCGGGCGAGCGCCCGGTTCAGGAGTGCGCTGGGTCCCTGCCTCTGCATTCACCCACACACCCAACACATATCCGGGGTACACCCGATGTATTACCGGCACCTCTCGGGCCCCCGCTCCCACACAGCGGCCCACCGCTCTGCCCTACCCAAATCCGCCTCCGCCCGCAGCCCGGGATTCTGGCCCTGGCCCTGGCCGGGGCCGCCGCCGTGCCCCTCAACCCCGCCCCCGAGCCCCTCAACCCCGCCCCCAGCCCCAGCTCGCAGCCCCGGGCTCTGGTTTTGGCCCCCCGCAGTCCTCTCAACCCCGCCCCCAGCCCCGGCTCGCAGTCGCGGGCTTTGGCTTTGGCTCCAGCCGCGCCCCTCTAACCCCGCCCCGGGCCCCAGCTCACAGACGGTCGTAGCACATGACCGAGTCTAGGCTGCGCTCGCCGTCCTTGAGCTCTCGGCCGCCGACCACGTAGATGGAATTGAGAGCCTCTCCCAGGCCGAAGAGGCAGCGCGGCGAGGGCAGCGGCGGCATCCCCAGCCACTCGGAGTCCAGGTGGTCAAACTGCGGGTCAGGCGTCCAGTCAGCCACCGGCCACACACCCGCTACTCTCCCAGCCCAGCCCAGCCCAGCCCCGCCCAGCCCCGCCACCTGGGTCACAGACGAGGCCAGGTCTCCAGGTAAGGCCAGCGCAGCCTGGAGGCCATCCCTGGAGGCAGTACCGTAACCTCCCACCAGGATGAGAACCACGGAGGGCCCCCGGAGGTGGGCGCCCAGAGACCACATCACAGCACCAATGGGGCCCCCCACGCAGAGCCATGTCCCTTCCCCAGTACAACTCGGGAACTGAGGCCTGCCTGCCCTCCGTTTTCCACCCAACCCCACTGTACAGAAAACTGTATAGCTCTACCAACCATCCCCAAAAGACTGACGTCCACAGTCTTACAACCATATCTGTGGCTCAGCTTTCTGAGGGAGCAATGTGCCGATGGACACTTTATAACCATCTATAACCTTCAAACAACCTTATCAAGCAGGAAGAATAATATCCCCAGTTACAAACGGAGGCCCAGAGAAAATAAACAATGCCCACGAAATACCTTGGCTGGAAACTGCTGGAGTTGCCCCCTTCCCTCCCTGCCCTCCCCCCATGCCTAGTTGCCCCTCAACCTTCTCTACACTTGGTCAGGCCTCACCAAGCACATCACTCACTAGGCTCATTACAATTCGTGTCCCTTGCTCACCATCCCTCAGTCAGAAACACCCTAACTTCCCTTCATGTGTCCAAATTCCACCCAAATGGCAAGACCCAAAACTACATGGTCAGTCACCAGGAAACCACGTCTGCCCTCTGAGATCCCACAGTACCCTACAACTTGGACTGGTGACCCGACTCTACTGGTCCTTTCTGGGCCTCAGTTTTCTCATCTGTACAGTGAGGAGACTAGGTACGAGGAGACTAGGCAGGATGGTACCTGTGTATAGGACACTCTTATCCTATACTCCAGTCCTGGCCTCATGCCAAGGTCCTGCCCCAGACCCTTCCACTGACTTGCTCCTCCTTCTTACTTTGCCTGATCCCAATCCCTGTGCAGAGAGAGGGCCTCCAACATACTAGACCTCCCTGGGGCTCACATGCCCCTGAAACTGAGACATCAGTGTTATACTAATTGTCAGTTGCCTCTAACTGTCTTCAACCTTCAGGTAAGTGGCTGTCAGTCAACCTCTCTGGTCTACATCTCATCTTAGACACAGTGGCACCCCAACAAGTAGACACAAGTCTCTCATGGGCCCCAAAGCTGACCCCCGTTCCCAGAACCGGCACTGGCTGCCCCTCCCAGGGCTGGGCAGGCACCTGCAAGAAGTAAGCACTCATGGGGTCCTCTTTGTTGTCCTCGTTGTAGAAGAGGCCCCCAGCCACAAAGACCTGGTTCTCCTTGGTCACGAGGCTGACATGGTTCTTGGGGATCTGGGTGGAGAGGGAGGCACAGTAACACTCGTTGGCTGCCGGATCATAGGCCACAGCCCCCTCCTCACTGATCATGAAGATGAGGTCCTGCAGGAACATGCCAAAGCGCAGAGTGTCATTGAGGATCCCAGGTAGGATGCGTTCCGCCTCCTCCTCCTCCTCGTCCTCCGCCTTGGCTTCGCCCGCGCTCTTGTCAGCGGCCTTGGCCCCGGCTGCCTCCTTCCCCTTGTCCTTCTTCTTCTTGCGCAGCACGGTGAGGCGGCCCTCGTGCGCGTCCTTCACCATCTGCACCTTGCGCAGCAGCTCCGGCTGGGCACGCACAAGAGGGTGTTTCTCCACGCGGCTTTCCAGAAAGGCCCGCGGCAGCAGGCGGCAGCGCACGCTCTCGAAGACCGTGGGCAGCGACCGCTGGCGCTCCTCCTGCGCCTTGGCGTCGCCGCTGCCTGCCCACCGCATCACCGCCTCGAACACGGCCTCTTCCTTCTCCACATTGAGGCCGTCACTGGAGATGATGGCGATGAGCTCGTCGGCCGAGAGCCCGAGGAAGTCGGCGTCGCGCGCCACCAGCGAGAAGCGCGCGCAGATGAAGTCGCGGGCGGCCACGGCCAGGCGTGCGCAGTCGAGCAGGAGGCCGAGGCGGAAGACAGCCAGGCAGTTAGCGAGACACAGGCGCTTCTGTAGGAAGGACACGCAGATGGTGAAGATGGACGGGATCTGGAAGCGGTGCGCCGCGGCGAACAAGTCCTGCACGCTCGCCTCGTCCAGCGCGATCTCCGACGTGTACAGGTAGTGCAGCACCTGCGCCACCACGTCCGGGGACACCTCCTCCAGGCGCAATTCGCCCGCGTGCTCGGGCTCGGCCAGGAAGCGCGCGCGGAAGTAGGGGCTGCAGGCGGCCAGCACCAGGCGGTGGCATGGGAACTCGCGCTCACCCACCCGCACCACACAGTCGAGGAACTTGCCGTGGTCCAGCATGTCCTTGAGCCCGTCCTGCAGGAGCGTCTGCTGGTACAGACGCTGCTCCTCCGCCTGCTCCAAGCCCAGCGTCATGGTGGGTGGCTTGGGTGTGCTGCTGTCTGGCCGGGGCCTCCTCTTTCTATTCCCCTGCTTTCCTTCTGGGTCACTCTTCGTCTACGCAGCTGTCTTCGCGGGGCTATATATAGAGGTGGATAGGGCTCTGTAAGGCGAGCTGCCTGGCTTCCTGCACATGACACGGAGGGGACAGCTGGGCAGAGGACCCCTCCCAGTGTGGCCTTGACTCGGCCCCGGGCGCTTATGGGACAGGGGTGGGGAATTTGGGCCTATGAGGGCCTCACTGCCTCATTTCTAAATGGAGCACAGCAAGGCCTTGACTACATTCCTTGGTCAGGCAATGCCCCTGAGGGGAGGGGTTGACCCAAGCTCTGCCCCTCAGTCCAGGGAGAGAGAAGCATCGGTGTCCCTCCCCCAGGATCTCCCTTCGTTCATGCCTCCTGGGCCTTTCTTTCTGGGTGCTTCTGTGTTCCTCCCTGAGTATATCTCATCCCAGCCATCCCTGGATATAGTGTGCTTGGGTTTCCTGTTCAATGAACTTGGAAAGGCATTCACTCATTGGAGACCTTGTTGCCGTACCTTTAAAATGTGAAGACCTTACCCCTTCCTACTCCAAATCTGAGACCCTCCTTAGACTGTGCAAGAAAGAAGAAGGTGCTTTAGGATAAACTTGGTCACTACTTTTCTGAGGGCCTGCACAGGTCACATGGCTCTGTTGAGCCTCAGTTTCCCTTTCTACACAATGGGGAGTTTCATGAATTAGAGTCTAAGGGCCTCAGCTCTGCTGAGGTTCAGTGTTCCTGGGAATACACTGTCACAGGGTTTTAACATTGCAAGGTGTCAGACATGCTAAGAAAGTAATTTCCTAGGATTCAACTATTCTAGGTACTTAAATTCCCAGGGTTTTAACATTCTAGGGGAAGGACAGTCTGGAGTCTAATGTTCAAAAGGTAACACTCTAAGAGTTTAATATTGCAAGATAGCTGTCTATGCTTACTGTTCTTGATCCATATAAGCTTGATCAGAGCCTACCTTGGCCTTGGGGCCCTTGCACCCTGTCTACCATCGAAGAGGTGTCAGGGTAAAGGCCCAGGGTAGCCAGTACTGATGCCCAGCCTTCTCTGGACTTACCACCCTTCCCCCACTACACACACACACACACACACACACACACACACACACAATCAGCTGCAGCCACCAAGATTAACTTGTTCCCAAAGTGCCAGAAGTTGCAGCTGTGGGTTAAATTTAGCCCCCAGGACACTAGTGTGAACTGTTATGGGGCATTCTCCCATCATTCCTCTGAGTCACTTGTTTATAACTTCGGACTTGAGGGGTGGAGGGATTGGAGAGGGCACCAAAAGATGGCCCAGGTCTGAGTCACCTCCCCTTTTGTGATCTCAGAGATGTCACTGCCTGTCCCCCCGTGAGCAATGCCTTCAACCATCGTTTGCTCACCCCACCAACAGGTCTAAGAGAGGCAGCTGCAGGACAGGTTCTGGAGGTGGTCCCGTCCCTCTTGCAGAAAGGGTCAAATCTCACCCCAGGGCTTCCAGCCCAGCCCCGACTGCAGGCCATTTCCAACAGGGACCATCAGTGACGATATCAGGCTCTGAGGGGCTGAGCAAGTTGGTCAGGTCACATAGCTGGCAAGAGCCCACGCCAGGATTCAAAGCAGATGTGCTCACCTCCGAAGACTTGTGGGAATCCCTCCCTACCATATTGCTTCCCACTAATTAACAACAACAACAAAAATTAGCGATTGTTTCATTTCCCAAAGACCAGGACAGAAAGTATATACGGAACAATTAACTTATGTTTATCAGGTGACTCAATGACATATTTTTAGATTATGATGACTCCCATAGTATTCACTCCCTCCCAGGCATTCCACTAGTGTATTTATATGTAGCTCATTCATTCATCGAGAACCTGCTGTGCACTCTGTTCAGTGCTGAGGATTCAACAGTGAACACATCAGGCAGGAATTCCTGTCTTTATGGTACTTACATTCAGCTGAAGCCATGGGGGGAGTCAGTAACAAATAGTTACACAGGATGTCAGATGATAGTAACTGCTAATGACAAGTAGCAGAGAAGGGGTCATGGAAAAGGACAGGTGGTAGTGGCAATAATTTTAGTGGAACAGTCAGGATGAACTCACTGAGGGGATGCCATTTGAGCAGGTTCAAGCCATGGGATAGGAGGATTCTGGGTGGGGGGTGGGGTACAGCTTGAGCAAAGGCCCTGAGGCAGGAGTGTACCTGGCAGGTTCCAGTGGGGCTGGAACAATGAATGAAGAGGTGAATAGGAGGAGAAAAGGACAGGGGATTAGGGTGGGGGAATCATGTAGGGCCACTTGGGCCAGTTTTTCCCTTCAGTGAAATGGAGTACCACTGTTTATTGTTTATAGTTATGAGAAATGCAAACATATCCATAAGTAAAGAGAATAATATGCCAGTTTAACATGTACCTACCTCCCCATTTCAGCAACTATCTAGTCACCAACTCATGGCCGATCCTATTTCACCTCTGCCCCCAGCCACTCTAGTAGTCACCCAAAGAGCCAGTCAGGGATTGGATGTGAGTACAGGAGAGAGGGACAGAGCATGACTGCATGGCTTTTGGTTGGCTCAAGGGAAAATGTCACCTCACTTCATCCTTTTAATTTTTATTTATTTATTTTTTTAAAAGATTATTTATTTGAGAGAGAGAGAGAGAGAGAGAGCATACAAACAAGGGGAGGGGCAAAGGGGGAGGGAGAAGCAGACTTCCCGCTGAGCAGGGAGTCCAACAATGGGAGACTCCATCCCAGGACCCCGGGTCATGACCTGAGCTGAAGGCAAATGCTTAACTGGTTGAGCCACCCAGGCGCCCCTCATTTTTACTCATTTAATCTTACCCAAAATTATATTATTTACCCCCTTTTACAGAAACTGAAATTTAGATGGCCAGCAAATAGTCTTGTCATGTTTCTTTTTTAAACAGCTTTGTTGAGGCAGAAGTGACATACAATTAACTACATGTACTTAAAGTATACAATTTGATAAGTTTTTTAAAAAGATTTTATTTATTTATTTGAGAAAAAGAGAGCGCATGAGCATGAGGTAGAGATAGAGCATGATGCGCTTTGGAAGGCCCACAGAGGGAGAAGAAGAAGCAGACTCCCCACTGAGCAGGGACTCCAATTATGGGGGACTCGATCCCAGGACCCCGGGTCATGTCCTGAGCCAAAGGCAAATGCTTAACTGACTGAGTCACCCAATTATCCCACAATTTGGTAAGTTTTGATATATACACACACATACCCATGGAACTATATATATAGTTATATAGTTATATACATATATATATGAAACCAGCACCACAATCAAGTTAAAGAATGTATCCATCAGCCACATGTCCTTGTGCCCTTCTTTAATCACTCCCTCAACTCTCCCCACAACAACTCCAGCCTAGATAGTCACTATTCCACTTTCCATTCCCGTCATCCATTTGCATTTTCTAAAGTTTTATATAAGCAGAATCATGGAGTCTGTCTGTCTTTCTGTTCTGACTTCTTTCACACAGATAACTATTTTGAGCTTCAGCGAGTTTGCCCACTCATGTTCTGCCTTCATTAGGAATCTTAGCACATCACAAGGGTTATTTAAGAAAAAGGCCAAGGGAAAATCTTGAGAAAATTTACACGCGTTTCGCCAAGGTCAGAGAACACCTTGCCAATGCACCAAGAAATTCAACAACATCTGCTGCCCTCAATGCATGAGCAGGCCTCACCCCGACGTGGGCTTGTAGGGCGATGACTCAGCTGCTGAGTATTTGCTGGAGTAGCCATGCTATATGTCCATATGTGGCAGACACTTGTCACTCTTGGTGTTCTCCTCACATCTCCTAAGTAGTTTTTCTATGTTTGGGACAGTCTCACATCAGTAGTCCTTCCCCAGGGTAGAAACCAGAACTTTCCCTGACCTCTGACAGTCTAGAAGGAAAAAAAAGATATCAGTAATCAAGGGACCTCAAAGAAACAGTGAGACCCATGTAAAGTGAAGCCCCCCAGTTTATAAGGCTGACTGCCACTGAGCTCTTTGGTGCTATAATAAAAAAAATTATTGAAAAGATGACTTCTGGCCTACACAGTATGGGACTCATTTCTCCCCATTCTTCTCTGTTAAGTACAATGATAAACCATGGAGATATGCAAGAAGCAATTAAAGGGTAACTCAGAAAGGTGGAAGAAGGATGACTAATTGGTTGGGAATCTAAGAATGAAGGAACATCTCAGCAGCAGGTGTCTCCCTCACACACACCCAACAAAGGATGACCCGGGTGGGTTTATTTATCTCACAAATTGAACAGGAGTCCCAATGACAATACCAAACAAATGCAGCATCACCAGCAAGGGGAGTGTGTCAGAAGCCAACTAACAACAAGCAGCCAGGGAAAGCGCTGTCCTTCCATACCTGGCTTGAGACCCATCTCCCTGCCAAGGGACCCTGGGCAACCTGGCCTGGGGAAACTCCTTCTGCTCTCTCTGGCAGCAGCAGCAGGAACAGGTGGGAGCCTCAGCAGCACCAGATAAACCAAGCAGGTGAAAACAACACAGCAAAGTCTCTGAAAATTAAATTGTCGTTGGAACCTCAGCCCACAAAAGTAGGCCAGCACCTGCATGCCAAACTTAAACAAGGCAACCGCCTGTTATAAAAAAAGAACCAAATAGAACCCGAAGTCTTCTAAACATAAAGCCAAAATGTCCAGGGTACAGTAAAAAAAAAAAAAAAAAAATTACCCATCATAATAATAACCAGGAAAATCACTACTTGAATGCAGAAAGCATCAGCTGATGCCAACAGTAACATTAGTCAGATGTTGACATTTTCTGGCAAGGATTTTAAAGCAACTATCATAAAAATGGTTCAGCAATCAGTACAATGCTCTTGAAATAAATTTGGAAAAGGGGAAAATCTCAGTAAAGAAATAGAAGTTACATAGAAGAGCCAGATGGAAATAATAGAAATGAAAAATACAATAACAGAAATAAAGACCTGCTGGATGGCCTCACTAGGGTGGGGGAGATGACAGAGGATAAAATCAGTCCACTTGAGGACAGGTGAATAGGGTTTACCCAATCCAAAGAACAGAGAGAGTGGAGTGAAAAAACAAAAAACAAAAACAATGGATGGCATCTTGGGCCCAT